AAAAAATTAATTTCATTCTCTAACATTGGGTTGTTTGGGATTTAAGCTTCATATCTTTCTTTTTTTCAATTTACTTTTAAATAAATTATCTTTATCTAATGATCTATATTTCTGGTTCAGCAGGAATAATCAAAGTTTACTCAAGTCTTTTATGTTTTTTTAATATTTTTATAATTTCATCATCCAACATTGAATTACTTGATAATTGAGTTTCATAAAAAAAAATCTCAAATTATTTTTCATAGGATTATCTCATTCTTATTATTCATATTGTTGGCTTGGTAATACAACCAAGGTTAATTCAGATTTTTTTTATATTTTTTTAATCAAATGTTTATTTTTTATCCTCTAACATTAGGCTAGTTGTAAATTGGATTTCATAAATATTTTTCAATTTGCTTTTTAATGGGATAATCTCATTCTTATGACCTTTAATATGGGTTTGACCGGTTTACCATGTTAACTCGAACCATTTTTTCAACTTTTTTTTTAATTTTATTTTTCAATTTTTTTCTTCAATATTGATTGTTTGATAATTGAACTTCATAGTTTTTTTATAAAAAAAATTTATAAAGGATTGTCACACTCTCACACCCTTAATCACAAATTTTGTAGCTTAAATAGTATAATTTTTTTATAAAAAAAAATTATAGAGGGTTGTCACACTCTCACAACCTTAATCACAAATTTTGTAGCTTAAATAGGATTGGCCTGAGTCAATCTAGTATATAATTATTTCAAAAAAATAATATATATATATATATATATATATATATATATATGATTTAGCAAGAAATATTTTGGCTCCTAGGCTAATAACTAATTAACAATATAGAGGTAGTGTATAACAATATTCAATGTCCTTAATTTATTAAAGAATTTAAAGTTATATAACTTTACTTCGACATTTTCAATTTAATTTTAAACAATAGGAAAATCCTTTACCTAAAACTTTTGTATCCTAGATTCTAACTAGAAATTCTATTTTAAGACTCGTAAAAACCTCACCCGGAATGAATCTTTTGATTAATTAATGGCTTGCCTTGGTTATAAGAAGCATTTAGAGATTTTTTTAAGTAAATAATTACATTGGTGGATGAATCACTAAGCAAGAATCTAATCATGGTAATTAAAAATTGCTAATAATTATTTTCATTTTCCAAAACAACCAATAAAGATATAAATTTTCTTTCTTGGAAAAAAGAAAAGAAAACCTACTTAATTAATCAGAAAATTTATTTATTATTTATTATACAAGAAACCTAGGGAGCCCTATCTTGTAACCTAATTTTTGAACATCCTCTTGCACTTGTTGTCTATATTCTTTAAAGCTAAATTTCCTATAAACTGAAGGCTCATAGCAACTTTGTATCACTGTATCATAGGAAGGACAGAAGAAATACGCTGTTGAGAATCTTTCAACTCGTGGATTTGTGACAACACGGTGGTCGACACTCTTATAAACATCGTTGCTCCAAGCCTGCAAATTTTCATCATGTCCACGAACTAATGAGTTGATATTTTATTGGGGTTTTTTTTTTTAAGAAAATGTAACTCTTTGTCAATGTATATATATAATCATGCTAACAACATTTCATAGTAAATTTCTGGGTCCTTTTGGCATGATTTTATGATTTTTCTTCTTCTTTTGAATCATAATCTAAAAGTTAATTTGTATAAGTAATTTTAAAGAAAAATGAATTTAAATACTTTTTTTTAAGTATGCTAAGAAAAAATTGACTAAAAACAATTTGTTTTGGAAAAATAAATGTATTATAATTTATAATTCATAAGTTAAATTTAATATTTTTAACTTTTAATTAATTAAAAACGTAAGTTAATTGGTAACAAACTTTCTATTAACTTAAAAATTATTTCTAATCAAATAAATCTATTATTTAAATTTTTTTTAAAAAATAACTTAAATTAATTTATAAAAATAAAAGTTAAAAAATAACTTAAATTAAGTTATAAAAATTATACCATAAATAATTTTTATTCCCACTATATAGTAGTAGGTAGAGCATACAAGTTGCTTCCATCAAATCCAAGGATGAAACAACGAATTCACAAGACAGGGTTTTAAAAATTGAGAAAGCTACTAGCTAGGACAAGTTTCAAAATAAGTCAAGTTAAAAGGATGGTTGAGAAAAAAAAAATGATATATTTGGGAATGCAAAGTGCTTAACTATTATTAAAAACGAAAACATTTAAGGGTCAAATTGAAAACTTTCAAAACTTCGGAGGTGCCATGGCCTCCCAAAGCAAAGTCTGGTTCTGCCCTTTTCGTGCGATGGATATCATTCAATTTCCTACTAAGAACATGTTCCATTAATTACCTGAAACAAGTCTCCGATATTGATTATCAGTGCCTCTGAGTTTGGCTTGACAGCAAACCATTTCCCATCTTTCACTAATTGCAATCCTCCAACTTCATCTTGGTGTAAAATGGTGAGAAAGTCGCTATCAGTGTGTGGCATGAGTCCGAATACCTCTGAAGGGATTGGACATGGTGGATATCGGTTCATTCGTAGATAACAAGTGCTTGACAGACAATTTTCTTTAATGAAATCAGATTTGCAGCCGAATTTCTCAGCCAAAATCTCAGCTAATTTCTGTGCTAGATTGGTAACTGTTGTAGCAAATTGTTCCATTGTCGAGCTGGAAGTATATTTGAAAAAGAAAACAGAAAGAAAAAAATTGTTAACAAAATGGACAATCACAAAAAAAAGCACCTATCAATTCATATATTTCAAGGAAAGAAGTGAAAATTATCAAAACAAAATGAATGCATGCATGCGTCCATTTGATCAAATTATTGAGACGGAGCTTAAATCCATTTAAGGCCACACCAAGTTACATTTGAAAAGAAAAGTTGTTGTTAACACAAGGGACAACCACAAAAAAGCACCAATTAATACATATTTAACAAAAGGGACAGCCACAAAAAAGCACCAATTAATACATATTTTCAAAGAAAAAATAAAAATAATTTTTCCAGTCGAACTTAGGAGGTGCATGTGTTAATTTGATCAAATTATTGACAAGGATCCACCTTTATGCCACATCAAGAACTTTCACGAAAGAAAATACATTGTTAACACTCAGGCTAATTAGAAATCAAAGAAAAATTGTAGCCACTTCTATTTAGAATGAGACCTGTCAAACTCCAGGAAACAATATCATCTAGCTTGTTGCAGATGGGATAGTCTGATCATTTATAGCTCATTATTCAACTTTTGACATTTCTTTCACGTTAGGAAGTGTGGACTTTGTGTTGATCAAATACCAGGCCTTGCATGCAATCACACACACAGACACTATATGATTTTGATGTGCTATGTGAAGCAGATATGCTGACTTTGCTAGTCTAATTATGTACTAGTAGTTTTATGGAGCGTGTATTGCCTAAGCATTGCAGGAAAGTTTCTAAGACATTTCACAGTGATAAGGCTAAAGATAAAGAAGAAGTCCTCCTCTAGTTATCGCTTGAAAGCTGAACCTAAAAGGTTTGATGCCATGGCTTATGATTTTTTCGTATGTGATAGTGAGCAGTAAGCAGTGCACAATTTTCCCTATTTTGTAAGCACAAAAAAATAAAATTGATTCCATGCTTTCACTTGCTTATTCAATTTGGAGCATCTAAATAAAACCATGTGATCCATCAAAATCTGATTTTTGGATAGTTCATCACCTTCAATAGCTACAGATAATCATCTGTGAGAAGGGATTCAATTTTAAAGGGTAAAAAATAAAAGTTTCAAATATTGAGTATAATTTTTTTTTAAAGGAGATATACTAAATAAAGTATAAATTCCACTTCAAGAAAAAAAATTTTATAGAAATTTAAAGAAATAAATTTGCAGTTACCTGAGAGCAGTACTGAAACCATTGGAAACCTGTATCTCACTCAAAGGAATATGAAAAGCTTCGGACCATGACAACTGCTTAAGGCAAGTAGCTGTAGGTGTCCCCCATCGATAAGTCCCCCTAGAGAAATTCAAAAAGTTTTCTTCTTTGCTCTTTTCAATAAAAGGTTGTTTAAAAACCTTAACTTGTTCACTTCTCATTTTGTCCAAAATCTCACGTGAAATCCCATGATTTACGACTTGAAAGAACCCCCACTCCTGTGATGCCCTAGCAATCTCTGTCTCGCACTTTTCTTTCTCCAAGTTCTTAAGATTCAGACGGCCAAGATCGATCAATGGAAGCTCGCATTCCTCAATGATATCAACATCTTTGTGATCAGTTGCCCCTTTTCTGGTTTTTTCCAAGAGGGTCTTGTAGGTCTGTGGGAACGGTGGGTCAACGTCCATCCTTTGAGCCTGAAAGCAGATGTGAAACGGAATTAAGGCCTAGGAAAAATAAAAATATGGTGGTGTATGGATGTGGGCTTTCTAGCCAAGGAGAGATAGGGACAAAGAGGGAGGAAAAGATGACCGGGACAAGAGGCTTTTCCCTTGTTTTTGTTTCCTTCATCGTCTATTAAAAAGGTTTTGGACCTTGGAGACGAAGTTGATTTCATGTCTTCTTGTGTTCTAGACTTGAAGATATCTAAATTTTCATGTTTTCTTGTTATGCAAATTTGGATTTTTATTTTGATGCGTTTTATTTCAATTAACTATTAAATTCAAATGATGAACACAAAGAGCACAAGAAACAATGTTCTCATGATTTTCCATGGAAGTAAACAAGCTTGGTTTTAAGTTTTTCCTAAGAAAAAGGTTTCAATTTTGAAATTGTTTAGCAAAAGATAATTTTTTTAGAATAAAAAACAAATTAGAACACTTATACTTTAGAATAAAAAACACGCGCGCATATTTATAGTCTAATTGAAAGGACTAAACCGATTGGTTTAATACGGTTTTATATTTTTATTAAAATCAAATAAGTATACTTTGAATTAATAAGATTTTAATTTTTGTAATAATTGATGAAGTTTTTATTTATATTTTTTAATTAGTTCAAGTTGGTTTTTTATTCTTAAAATTTAAATTAAAACTAAAACCAACTGAAGAAATTTTTTTAAAGAATTTCTAACCAAAACTACCCAATAAATAAAACAAAATATTCAATTCAATTAATTTCAAATTATTGCTGGAGTTAATTTACTTATCCCTAGTAACCAGCACTCTTCATTAACCGCACTTGAGAAGGGACGGGTGAAATCAATCACAGGCTTATTTATAAAGTGGGGCCTCATTATACATGTCGGTCATGCCTACATGGCCATTGGACCGATGATAGTCCCTACCACAAAATATTGACATTTGTCATCACAAAGGGTTGCTTCTTTCAGACCTTTTTGGCTTGTGGCTAGGAGCAAAATCATATAGAACAGGCTATCGCGCATAAAATGATTTTTTTTTTTTTTAACAAGACATGTGATATGAAAAAAAAAATCTAATTATATCAATATTTTTATTCCGAATAAATTTATTTAAATAACAATCAATGATCATTGAATTATAACCTGGTTATAAGATATTGTTTGTTTAGTATGTTAATTTGATGATGTGTTGATTTATGGTTTAATTTGAATTATATTAATAAAAAAATTTGGTTTTTTAAATAAAATGAATTAAATTTTTTAAAAATAAATTAAATTAAATTGACTGATCTATTACTTATTCTATTATCTTTAACCTACTTCAATTTAACCTGGAATACTTGTATCCACTCCAAATCCCACTCCATATTCTATTCTATCTCCTTCTCTTACTTGTTTAACTAAAATTTTATACATAATTTAAGAGCTTGTATCCACTCCAAATCACATTGAGCCAAATCCCACTCCATATTCTACTCTATCTACTTCTCTTACTTTTTTAACTAAAATTTTATACATAATTTAAGAGTTTTTGGCTTTATTAATTATTAAATACTGTTTTAAAACAAAAAACTTGTGATATTAAAATGTATTAAAATAATATTTTTTTATTTTAAAAAATTTATTTTGAAAATCAAAGCATTAAAATAATCCAAAACATGTAAAAAAATTGCTTTTTATAATTTTTTTTTAAAAAAAAAACACAGTTTATAGGGTGTTTCCTAACCGTTGCTATAAAGTTATACTAGAATATGGGGTTACATTAATTTTTAAAATAATGATGATGTTTCGGTTGTCAGCTAATTTGTAGGTAAGGTGAATGAAAAAATGTTTGACTGGGTTCCTTTCATTTCCTGCTTATTTCTTTATGCCCCACTTATCAAATCATACATAATCAACTATTAATTATGAGTTTGTCTCTATTGTAGTAGACATGAAATGAGAGAATTCCTTTCAATATTATTAGTATTGTTCTATTTGATTAACCCATGGAATTCCTAGGACTCTCAAAAAATTAATATCGCATGAGCTATAATTTATCGGATTATTATTAAGGTTTTAGTTGTGCATGTGCTGCTATTCTTTTTGAAGACGTCTTTTGGATTCTTTGCCATCTACTTGCAGGCTATATATATGTAAAATCCTAATTTTGTAATTAACGTAATGATCTCATTCACAAATTGAAAATTAAAAATAGCATGCCTTCTCTAAAAATGTGGCCACTCTTTTTTCTCCTGTGTGGAGCATTTGGTCTCGTGTTGTTAATTTGCATAAGGGTACTTGGAAAAGTTTTGGTTTTGACGTCTTGACTCTAATGTCATATTAAATGATAAGGTCATGCAGCAAATGATGGTATAAAGCCACTTACTATTAAGAAATATTAATATCTCCCAAACAACTTCCCTATTGCCTGTTGCTGTCTCAGTTATCATGTCAAATTTAGTCATTTGACTAACATTTGATGGACCCATAAAAAATCAAATTAATTAATTAATGAATCTAGCTTAAAAAAGGCCTAGTTTGTGCTAGATATAGTAGTTGATGGGCAGTGAATATATACTATACACTCAAGTTTCCCTTCACATTATTATAAATAAAAACAAAAGGAAAGAAAGAAAGAAAGAAAGAAACTAGCCAATACAATCTTAGTATGAATCATAGAAGAGGACAGATGATATATGAATATTATATAAAGATATAAGTGGGCCAAAACTGTATGATTGATGCAATGGATTCAATGTTATTATGAATCCTATAGGATGATCGGTGTCAGATTCGTAATGAATTAATCATCCATCTAAAACAGTGTATTTGAAGGAATTATGTTACATGCATGAATCACAACTGAAGTGTTTCATTTAATAAACTTACCTGGTTTATAATCTCCAAAAAGTTGTCAGATTCCACCAGTAAAGCTTTCCTTGATATCCACTTGAATTAAACCTTTTGTGGTCTGCATTCTCAAGAAAATGAAGTGATAAACAATATGTTATTTCAGTCTCTAGACAAAATATAGGAAAAAAAATAATATAGTTTGTTGCTGCAATGGATAAACACGAAATATACAATATCAATGAGACAAGACATTCTCTGAAGAAATGTTTCCACAGAAAATTTATCGGTGATTTTTATCCCGATATAAATAATCTTACTGTTGTGACGTAGAAAAAAGAAAAAAGGCTAGTATGTATCTAGCTAGCTAATTACTTGCATGGCAGTGCTCGGTAAAGTGAACGTCGAGCTACAAGTAGTTCTCGGCAATGGGGTGAAAAAGAATTAAGCTGATAGTATCATGTAATTTTAAGTACAATATCGTGGCAAGCACAATCCTATCCATGTTGAAAGCAAGTGTAGATAGAGAGAACAAAACTATGAAAACAAATACAAGACGATGACAGGAAACGAAAAGGATCTAAACGTTCATAGCAAAATAAGATCAAGAGTTTAGAGTGGCAAAGAATATGCGTAAGAACATAGAGACTACTTGATGAGAAGAAATATGGTACCTAAAAGAGAAACGCAAAGAGAATGAGAGAGGGAGGGAGGGAGGGAGGGAGCTAGAGAAAGGGCGTTTGCGTCGTCCACTAAGCCTGGAGAAAGGGCGTTTGCGTCGTCCACTAAGCTTGGAGGGGAGATATTTTATAGGGAAGAAAAGCTAGCAAGACCATTAATGATTATGATCGGCACAGTACTGCAGGAAGAAGATAATATATAAGGGTAAGGAGTATTTGCTTGAGAGGAAATCACGCGTGCTAATAATTGTATTAGAATTTTTTTAATTTGGGCAATGAAATTAGAGACAAGTAAGCGATCCAAAGCTTATAATAAAGCACATTTAATACTCATTCAATCCCCAATACACTCATATCTTGCTCAAATTTATGCAAAGTGCCTCTAATTAAACGTAAAATATGATTACTTAATGTATAGTTTTTTCCTTTTTAAACAAAAAAAAAAGTAGATGTAGAAATAGACCTATCGCTAATGGAAGTATATATTTAGACGTCTCTTAATCAAACCTAAATATTCTCTAACAATTCAAAAAGCTAGTAATGGGAGTGAAACTTGCTATACCATCCATCTAGATGCATCTTCTCCTTGTCATATGCACCGATTCTTTAAAAATATTTTATGTATAGTTGACATGACCGATGAGCATAGCAGGATCCGAATTCAAGCATTAAGTGAGGAAATTCAAAGCTTATCATTGAATATTTAAGCGTACATAAGGATTGGCTGGTTATTTTTTATTTATTTTCCCTCTTTTTGAAGAACACTAGTGTAATGTAGTGTAGATAAAGATAATTGCCAAGTACAATTTCCATTTTGAGCGTCGACATCTTTAAGAAAGAGATAAGGGAGTGGTATACTTGGAACAATAAGGACCAAAAGACATGTTGTGACTGAAACATTTGGAGCCAATATGGGGAGACTTGGTTCAATATCCACCATTAAGCCCTCTCTCTCCCCCTCCCCCCCCTCTCTCCCTCTACCTATCCCTATCTCTGAGGCTGTCTGAAATGAAATCTGATAAGCAAGGCACATGATTAGTACTGGACCCAACCGTATAACTGTCACTGCTGATTCCATGTCGGAACCTACGTGGAGGCAACTAGAGTCACATGCATGTTAAATTTTGCACGTCAAGATAGAAATATCAATGTATGAGATTGGGTTCAAGCATAAAAAACTCTTTAAACTATTTTTTAGATATTTTTCGGTAGAGCATGTTTAAGAATATGTTAACTTTCACTTTTAGATATATTTAAGGAATATTTTTTAAAAAAAAAATATATCAAATTTATTTTTTAAAAAAGTTTTTAATAATTTTGATATATTGATATTAAAACTAAAAAATCTACAAAAATAAATTATTTTAATATATTTTCAAGTAAAAAATATTTTTAACAAATATTTACAATATCAAATATGTATGTTAATTTTAAAAATAAAAATAAATTTTTAAAAAATTTATTTTAATATATTTTTAATTAAAAAATACTTTTATTAAAAAAAAAAGTATTCTAGGTTAACGTGCAAAGCAAAATGACATGTGGATCATCACTCATGGACTCATGCCGTAGCTTCTTGAAACACTTGCCTGTGCAAAATATCATCAAAGGGTACACATGATGTTCTCATAATGCAATTTATTCTCCCTTTCCATGTTAAAAAAAAGAATCATGTGTTTTCTTGTGAAAAAAAAAAGCCCAAAGGTTTCACTTATGCAACCAATTTAATATTATGTTATGATAATATATTTTTATGTGTAAATATATTAAAATAACTAAAACTATATATTTGATCCAATAAATACCGGCTTAAGGTTTAGCAAAATTCATATATATTTGGTATTATAATAATAGTTATTTTTTAAAAAAAAAAATATTTTTTAAAATTTTTTTAATATCAGCACATCAAACATAATAATAGTTATTTTTTTAAAAAAAATTATTTTTTAAAATTTTTTTAATATCAGCACATCAAAATGACATGCAAAAATTTTAAAAATAAAAAATAAAAATAAATGGGCTCTTTATCAAGATTTTGCGGTATTTCATGTATGTATGTTGTACCGCTTTCCACCTTTTATGTATAATCTCTACTCATCCTCACGGAATATTGAAAAGTAAATAGAATAAATAAATACAGACACTTTCTTTTTAGTTTGACCTTCTCGAATATCTCAGTCTATTGGATCAGACATTCTTACATAAATTTATTGACATATTATTACATTAACCGATGAAGATTGAAGTAATGTTTGGTAAATAGAATTATCATGATATTTTTTTTGGTTAAATCAAAATATATATAGAATAAAAAGAAAAAACCTAAATAGTATAGGCAAAGCTTTAGCTATATAGGGTGTAGTCTAGACATCAGCCTAATTACAAGGAAGAAAGACAAGAAAATATAAAACCTCACTAATGAAGCAAACATTACAAAAACCACATGAAATCAAAACTTAAGTAGATCAAGTCAAAATACATTTGTGATTCCTATACAAATCAGCACCGGTATACCAAAATAAAGAGTTCAGATTTATGATCCAGCCTGTAATAAAGTAAAACAAGTGCCTTAGGATAGCTTCCCAGATTGGTTGTTTTTCCTCAAATTTCAAAATATTCCTAACATTCCATATAGTCCAGACAATGCTAAACATAAAGCCCTTCCAAATACATCTTTTAAACTTACAACGTTTTTCCTGTAGAAGATCTAACCATTGACATTAAAGGTTATCAAGGGCATATGGCATTACCCACCTCAATCCTCTCCAAGTTACTATCTTATTCCATAGTTTCCAGACCATTGGGCAATGCATGAATATGTGTGAAACAGTTTCTGAATGATCTTCACAAAAAGAACAATGGTCATCCTAAGGGCTCAGGATGTACCTCTTCATTAGAAAGGCTTTTGTGCAAAGATCTTTCTTTAAGGCCAGCCATAAAATCATTTTTATTTTTGGAGGGAAATGGATTTCCAAACATTTGTGACATAATTTTTAGATCCAGCATACCTAATCCTTTAAAGGGCAAGCATAAAAGAGTTTACAATATAGCCTCCATCCTTTTCCCATTTTGAAATCAACTTGTCTTCTTTCAATTGATGAATAACTGCAAAATTAAAATCAGACAATAACTTTTGAAATAACATATCCTCACTAATATTGAGGGGTCTAATCCATTTTAAATTCTAATATTAAGTATCCTTTATCTAGTATCTCATTTGACTAACATTCTTTGCTTTGGAGGAGGACAAACAAAAGAGAGCCAGATAAGAGTTAGCTAAACAGAAACCAATCAACTAAGTAGTTAACCAAAAGTTTACAAGGTTACCATTACGCATTTTAAGTTTACAGCCAGCTCGAATAAGAGTCTATCAAGATCCATAGTAGTAATGGTAGAGCAGATAACTCGCTAGATTCTTAAGAGGTTTTTTCCTGAATTAGGGTATCCTGTTTATGAACTTTGAACTATATTTTTTTTCTTAATGAAATTTGCCTTAATTAGCTAAATTAAAGTCAAGGGTGGAGTCAGAAATTTTTTTTTTTTGGGGGGGGCAAATTAGACAAAAAAATATAAAGAGGGCCAAAAGTTTTAATTATTCAAATGGGAGGTAAGGAAAAGAAATTGACGGTGCTAGTCCCTTACTAAACCCCTTCCCTCCACCCCTGATTACAATGATGATATATTTTCTAGAATCATAAATAAGATTTTGTATTCAACAACGAGGAACTCAAACTCTATCTTTTAGATGTCGGCTGGATGAATTAATGTTAAGTTTTTTTTTCATATATAATTTTAGAGTTATTTTTTTGGATGCTAGGCTTTTAAATAAATGCATCTATAGTCTTCTTTATGCATCATATAAGTGAAATGACATACATTTGTAGTTCTCACTAGTGACAATTAGGAGGAGAAGATGTGTGTGTATCATGGTTATTGAACCAGCATGGCTTGATGATCAATTTGAATTTCAATCTCTCCAAGTTACTATCTTATTCCATAGTTTCCAGACCATTGGGCAATGCATGAATATGTGTGAAACAGTTTCTGAATGATCTTCACAAAAAGAACAATGGTCATCCTAAGGGCTCAGGATGTACCTCTTCATTAGAAAGGCTTTTGTGCAAAGATCTTTCTTTAAGGCCAGCCATAAAATCATTTTTATTTTTGGAGGGAAATGGATTTCCAAACAAACTTCAACCTCTAATCTAATGCTGAATTTTAATTTAGCTATTCCACCACAACTTACACCAACTCTTCTATGTCAAGCGTAAAAAAGATAAGAGAGTTTACTTATAACCCAATAAAAAAACTCATTAAATTTTTAAAATAATATTATTTTAATGTTTTTAATTAATTATAATCAATCCACTTGATTGTGATCTAAATTTTGCTCCGGCGGGTCAAATATATAGACACACACCGAAGGGGGAACTTGGACCCCTGATTTACTACTGAATTTTAGGTCAATCATTCCACCATAACGGCCGCCAACTTGCACCAACTCTTGTATATTAAGCATAAAAAAAGAAAGATAGGAGATACGAGGGATAGGACATGGCCCAGGATTTAATACAGAAAGCATGTGATGCATCTCTACAGGAGCAGCGCTTTTTACTTATAAATGGACCAAGGCATGAGCTGTCTAAGGTCGTTAATTTGTCCTGCGACTAAGCTACCTGTACAGTCTCTCATACCCACCTAGCATAGATGATTACATACATATACAATTCAAGGCCTACATCACAGAGAAAACCATACCATCAAATGTTAAAGGACACTTGAATTATTGCAGCTGAATCTGCAGCCACATGCACGGTTGATGAATGAATGTCTTGATCATAATTGCCGACGGCGCCTCTTGCACTATTTGTGATTTTTTTAGTGTGGTCATTCACAAGCCCTTCTCGTTCAAGTGGGCGTTTGACAATTTGAGGGTAAGTTTGAGCGGTAAAATGGGTTTAGCAGGTTATGTCATTGCATTCAGGTCT